GAGAAAGACATGTATCATATGACCTCACTGATATGAGGAATTCTTAATCTCAGGAAACAAACTGAGGGTTACTGGAGTGGTGGGGGGTGGGAGGGATGGGGTGATTGGGTGATAGACATTGGGGAGGGTATGTGCTATGGTGAGCGCTATGAATTGTGTAAGACTGTTGAATCACAGACCTGTACCTCTGAAGCAAATAATACATTATATGTTAAAAAAAAAAAAAAAAAAAGAAGATAGTAGGAAGGGAAAAACGAATGGGGGAAATCGGAGGGGAAGATGAACCATGAGAGACTATGGACTCTGAGAAACAAACTGAGGGTTCTAGAGGGGAGGGTGGTGGAGGGATGGGTTAGCCTGTTGATGGGTATTAAAGAGGGCATGTACTGAATGGAGCACTGGGTGTTATACGCAAACAATGAATCATGGAACACTACATCAAAAACTAAGATTTAATGCATGGCGATTAACATGATAAAAAAAAGAGAAAAAAAATGTTATTTCCCACCAAAAAAAAAAAAATCAGTTTCTCACCTTTTGGTATTTCTGCCACCATTTATATGAATACTGGTCTTCCCATGAGACAGGTTTTGAAGGAAATATCTGGCATTTATTGAGGGATTCTAACTGAACTGCAGACATGGTTGAAGGCAACACACATTCAGGAAGAATTTGCACTTTAGCTTGCTGGATTCTAAAATAAAGAGAACCAAGCATGGTGTTCATTTTTAAAATAAACTAACTCAAACTTTAAGTTTCTAAACATTATGGGCAGTTTTAAATACTAAGATTTTCAGTTTTCTTTTTTAAGCACATCCATAAAATACTGTTAAGATGCAAGAATTTTCAGAATATCTATATTTCATAAATCATACCAAAGTTAAAATCAAAGATAACCTAAAGCATGGATTTTCAGTCTCACTGTGAAATGCAAAGGGAGATTTGTACATTTCAGATATAGAGTCTATTAATGAAACAAAATTAAAAAAAATAAATATACAACCATCTACTACTGCTTGATACTTCTAAATTAGTTTCTTAGACATCCTTAAATACCCTACCCCTCCCAGCTCCCCATCTGCTGCCGGGCTCTTACACCTGTCCCTTCTCCTAAGTCTAATCTAACTGGAGGAGCAGGTAGAGAAAGGAAAAGAAAATCAAGAACCCATTTATGTGGATAGTTAAAATAAGACTACAGAATTACATGAAGCCTATATTTATATGTGCATTCTTTTTCTCTTTCTCAAACATTTAACTTGAAAATGCAAAGAATCAAAATATGCATATTATCTTTTTTTAATCCTAAAAATTACTTAAACTCCCATGAGAGTGAAGTCACCATTTCCAGATTGCTACTGGAAAATATTGTAACTGCAAACATCTTATCAGGAACAAATGCCAACAGGAACACTGTACCTATGAGCTATTTTCTTTTGAAGCATTTTTCCTAGAGTACAGCTCTTGAAATGTAGAATGTATTAGTACATTCAAATGCTGGAACAAATCACTGTCAGACGGACAAAATTCAATATATTAAAGTCTCTGCTTCATTATTAGTTATGTTTAGAAATTCTCAAGTGGTTTTTCATATTAATTACTGCCTTGACCCACAAAAAGTTAGGAATGAAATTTTGATACTTCTATTTATTTATTAAATAAAAATAGCTAACTTGGTTAGACTTATTCCACTAACTTCATTTCTTTCCTGGAAGCTCAAATTTATGTATGCATAACTTCTGAAAATGTTAAAAAAACAAATTGTGTTCAAACTATATTCAAATGTTCTTACATTAGAGCTCGTTAAAAACAAAATCTATTTTCTTCACCTGTCACATGAACACAAATACTTATAATCATATTTTTAGAACAAGTGTGTACCTTTCTAAAGAAATGTTTAGAAATCTGATTCTTCTTTAAGGTCATCAGTAACTAAATTATGAATGATGTTTAACTCAACTATCATGTATGATTTTATTGTATTACGATAAAAACATCAATGTTACTGAGAGATTGGCTTACTGATCATTTTACTGATCAGTCTGCAGTACCAGCTGTCTGAACTGCCTTGCAGGACTGAGCAATGCTCTCCGCTGCTTTTGCTAGACATGCCCGGGGCCTGCTGCACACATGGGCTAGTTCTCCCACCTGCTGGGTCCTGTTTTTAACAAAATTTTTGTTTCTTCCCAACCTGTTTATAGCAGTTGTTTTGTGATTATAGTTACATAATTTATATAAGTATTATAAAAACCAATGAAATATGACTTAAATAAAATGGCTTTAATGAATAAAGCTGAGCAATAAAAACTGCTTTCAAATTAGGTTCAGACAGTTCTAATAATACAGATGATTATTGGTTTCAGTTATGACAGGTAAGAGAACTTGTCCTGTAATTCCAAATAGGGTATTAATCTCTTTCTCTCTACATGCTAAGAAATCCTGTTATTTCTGAAGGGTTCTACGGTGATTCAATGACACACTTCTACTTTTTAATTAACCTTTCAAAAAAACAAAAAAGCCCTTCCATGTGTTCAGAAAATGCCAAAGAAATAAAGACTCTTAACTTAGAAAAGGTCAGAAGGCAGCACTATAGTTTTTAAATGAAGGGTCATTTACGTAAAAGACAGATGACTATTATCCAGCACTACCTGACTGGAGAAAAGGAAACTGGCTTGAGTTTCAAGGTGCTATGGAGTTCAGGTAGAGTACGAGGAGCACCAGTTTGGAAGTCAGGGGACCTAGAACCAACCAACTGTTGCTTACTAGCTGCATCACTGTAGGCAAATCACTTCATCTCTCTAGTATTTAGTTGTCTTATTTGGAAAAAGAAGAAATTGCCCTATATTATCTCCATCTCACCATTTCTACTGAAGGGAGTTACAGGCCAGAGGGGCAAGGCAACCAGAGAAATCTCACTCCATGGAAGCCTTTTATAGTAAGAAAGACTCACCTCTGTGAGAGGGCTTAGCAGTGGGTCTATGGAATAATAAAGAGAACATGCCTTTGCCAAGTCTTGTCTAACCTGACTATCAGTTTCATGTTTATCTTCACTAGAGTCAAACATAAGTCTTTGACCGGTTTTCAGAGTTAATGGTCTACTGCCATCTTGTGTTGAAAATAGTTTTTCCACAATCAAAAGTCAAGAAAGCCTCAGAAACATACTTTTCTCCCAAGTCATTTTTCTTCTTTGGTTCCTATAATATACTATTCACAAATAAGAAAAATTTTATAAGCAGGAGGATAAGAAGCACTTTAAATATGGAACTGTTAGCAAAATCTGCAGTAACAAAACAGCTTGCTAATTATCAGAATGCAGAGCCCTCAGGAGGACACGGTTTCATTCATTCACATGGCATTTATAGTTATTAAGTGTAGAACATACAGAAGTGTTAATCATTGTCCTCAGGCAGCTCATCTATTGAGGGAGACAGATACACAATCCTGTAATGACAGTACAGTGTGTTAATACCACGAGAGTCTGCATCGTGAATGTTCCGGGGGTACCACTGAGGGCTCTGGCACCTCATCCCTCATTTTTCCATGCTTTCCCTAGCCCCAAAGGGTTGCCTCACCTGTCCATTATACTTCCATATTTTCAGTGATATTTGTGAATGTCCACCATGTGAACAAAACAAGACAAAACTTCTGAAGTTCCATGTATTCAGAAGATATTATCTGTTCAACACAGAGGTCAGATAACATTTTCAGCTTGGCTATAAAGAGACCAATTCACTAGGACTGGGTGAACTCCAAGAATCTGTATCCTTGTAACATTTCACAGGTGATTCTTATGTACCAGAGTTGAGAACCACTCCTTTAACAGGTAATATGCAATCATGTGGACAAATGCTTATTCTGTTTTGCTTTGTTTTTAAAAGGATGAAGTAAGGTGAACTGGAATTTTTTTTTTTTTGGATGAGGTCAGTGGTACTTAAAAAACTCGAATCATGAGAGTCATGCCAAAATAACTGTTAAAACAATATACTCAGAGAATTGCCAAACTTTATAAGGTATAGACACAACAAGCATTTATTGATCACTTATTATATAGTTAATACATTTGTGGGTGATGTGAAATTCACACCGGAGATGGGTGCTAACTGCAAATGGTTTCTGCAGCTCGGATGGAGGAGCTGGTAGGTGTAACCGGTGTGGTTTTCAAATATCACAGGAATGCTGCAAACACCACAGCTGTCCTGGTGTGCACACAGACAGCTCCGAAGCTTGTGGCCTCTCCATTCTCAAGAGAGGCCTTCAATCCCAAAGAAGCCCTGTCCCCAAAGACAATGCACTTTGGGTTTATATTATTCATCTCAAACGTGCAGGGGCATGAGAATCACCTGGAAATCATGAAAAGAGATGCTGCAGCCTCACCCAAGGTTAAACCACTCTTTTTGTGAGTGGATGGGAGATGAGGATGAAACTCAAGCATCTATAGTTTTAAAACTTCCTAAGTGGTTCTGATGCATAGCCAGGTTGGAAACCACTAGGTTATACCTTCAAAGGAAAGAGAACAACTAACTCAAAGTTACAAAATGTGAAGGGTCAGTACAACAGGAAAAATATAAGAAAACCACCTCATTTAATGATGTACACACAGCTTTAAGATCTATGGTATTTCTTACCCATCTGACTGTGTTCTTAGCTCAAGGACTTTGAACCTTTGTCTTCCAATTGCTTTCACTTTCACTATCTCAATTCCGAAATCCTGTTCTTCTCGATAGGCATATATCTCTGCTGTTGTTCCAAACTGTGCTTCCCTCTCCTGTATATTACTTCCAAGATAAATTTTAAAAGAAAATAACTTTGAACATTTAATTTTTAAATATGCAAAGTTGGCAAAAAAATTTTAAATGTGCAAAGTGGCAAAGCAATATACACAATAAAAAAAAATTACAGCAGTTAGCCCTTATTGCAAAGCTATTATCATTTTATTTTGAAATCACATGGGGAATGCAGATATAGAAGGCTTCAGAATGACAGAGCAAAAAAGAAAAAAAAGAATTACAATTACAGCACTTTAGGAAAATAATAGCTCTCTAGTCACTGAAAATGATCTAGGACTGATAAGGGTTTAAACTCTCATTTTCCAAATGAGACATTCTTTTACTTCAGTAGACCATCAATTCTGCTGCTTAATCCTAGCAGCATTGTACTGGGGTGGGAAATCCCTGTATTCATCTCCTGCGTCTACCACTGATTTCCTTCAGTTGCCACAGGATACCTAAAATACCAGTTTGCCACTGGTCTATATTCAACTTATGAATTCTGAGAGACAGACAAAAGAACCAGCTACTCCTTTGTAAAAATAATCCTTTACATTAAAATGTAAAAGCCCTCTTTCTCTTTAAATAAGGACAGTGCTTGAAAATAAGATCCTAGAAATTTTTATTAGACATTAATGACGAAAAAAATTTCAAATACCAGAAAGTTTAATTGTGTGTGACAGTAAATGTCTGATCTCGATGGTAATGAGAACAATAAAAATACTCTAACTTGCACTTTCAATCTTTCATCAAAACTTCTTACCTCACATCCTTATCCAGTCTCCTGTGCATGCAAAATAACAGTCAGGTTTGGCTTTAACACTGACCTCTGCTGTGACTCTGCTGTGAGAGAGAATGTGTTAAGCAAATTCATTCTAATATTTTACCTGTATGCAAGAACTGCAAAGGTTCTGTCTTTCTGAATTAAATTCCGCACCATACTGACTTCCTGAGGACGAAAAAGCTGAAGAGGTAAGGTCTGCCCAGGAATCAGGATCATCATCACCTGGGGCAGAACTGGAATAACCTGACAGCTGTCGTCATCATGCAAAGTCCTGCCATGAAATTCTTCCATATCAGCGCCCAGATACTATTTAAGAACACACACAGATACACTGTCATTTTAGATACATAATAAAAATACAAACTCAAAAACCTAAAGAGCAAATCAGATTAAAAGAAATATAAACAGATGATACAAATATTTATTTAAGTAATAAAGTAGGTGTATCAGCCTCCCACATGAAAATCTAATTCTGATTCTTAGGAGTGGAAGTTCTATTATTTGTGAAGAATGTCTCACAAATTCAAGAGCATTTTTTAGTTCAAAATATTTTTCTTTGACTAAGATAAGAAACATCTCTATGTTCACATATCACAAATGACGACCAGAAGATGTCAGCATGTTAACTAACACCCTGGTACCAAGTACTGAGGAGAGTAAGAAGTACTTTAGTAGCTCCATTATTAGTAGAAACATACAGAGGGTCACAGTTCTTCAAAGAATTATTCCAGGATATAGTATTGAACTGCTTGAAAATTAGAGTTAAGAATGTGTATCTACTGGCAAATAGCCCATGTCCTCATCCACAATTCCTACTGTGAGGTAATATCCAATAAGGCCAACCTTGGTCTTATTGTAAGGAACCTCCATCTACTGTTATATGTGTGTATCTATTAAGATCTGTTACTACATTACATACTGTATGTGACGTTGGCAGACTGGTGTCAAAATTTATGACGTTTGGTTTTTTGGCTTCTTTGCTATCCTGGTCTTCAACTTCCATTTCAATTTCATCTTCTTCCTCACTCTCTGCTGTAAAAGTAGAAGATTATGAGAAAAAAAATGGATGCAAGAAAATGTCAAAGTGATGTTTCCCTTCGAATGCATAATTCCTTCACGAGGATTCTGAGCCCATGAGAAGAGGGCTTCTTCTAAACGCAACTCGCATGTGGTGATTTCTACATCCTGTGAAGAGGCAGCCAGAGGGCTGGGGTCTATGCCGGGTTCTGCCACTAACCACTTTTTTTTTTTTTTGCAGAATAGTTTAAGATTTACATAAAGATTGCAAAGATAGTACAGAGATTTCCTTTTCCTGTAGATCTCCCCTCCACTTTCCCCTACAGCTAACATCTATTAGTATGGTACATCTGTCTAAGCAATCAGTGTTGGCACGTTACTATTAACTAAACTCCACATTTTACTTATATTTTCTTATTTTCATCTACTATCCTTTTTCTGTTTCAGGATCCCATCCAGGCTAGCACACAACATTTAGTTGTCATATCTCCTTAGCCTCCTTGGGGCTGGTTTCTCAAACTTTCCTTGTTTTTGATGGCCTTGACAGTTGTGAGGAGTACTAGTTAGGCATTTTGTAGAGTGTCCCTCAATTAGAATTTGATATATTTCTCATGATTACACTGACGTTATGTACTTTGGGGAGAAGACCACAAGGGGTTAAGGGCTGTGTTCATCACATCGTATCAAGGGTGCATACTATCAATATGACTTATCACTGCTGATGTTGACCATAATCACCCGCCTGAGGTATTCTTTGAAAGGTTTCTCTACTGTAAAGTTACTCTTTTCCTCCTTTCCACATTGTACTATCTGGAAGCCAATTACGCAGCACAACACACACTTAAGAGGTGAGGGATTATGTTCCCTTCTCCTTGAAGAGGAAGTATCTACATAAATTACTTAAATTCTTCAGTGTGCGAGATTTGTTTCTTCTCTCTTGCCAGTAGTAACTAACTTAGGGACCTTAGACAACTCATTTCACCTGATTATGCCTTAATTTCCACATCTGAAAAATGACAGGCAGGAACAAGACAATCTCTAAGTTTCTTTCAAAGTCTTAACTTTAAAGAGTTCTTACAGAAGATAGGAAGGAGGGAGGAAGGGAGGGAGGGAAGGAAGGCAGGCAGGCAGGCAGGCAGGCAGGCAGGCAGGAAGGCCCTTTAATTAAAATAGAAAAAGTTAACATTATTACCCAGCAAAAACATTTTCATAGCAGGGACATCACTTCCTTGGCTGTCACTATACTATTAAAAAATGAAATGTCTGTAATCATTTTCCTTCCAAATTTGCTTTGGAATTTTAAATTTAAAAACAAAGTTCACATGGAACATAAAACATTTTAAAGCTAATGTCTTAGAAAACTTCCCTCACACACAGTTTTTAAATTATGAAAACTAAGCTGATCTACTTTAAAACCTTGATGTTATTAATAATAGAAAAAGCTATACCAAATAGATGCTATTCTACTAAATGGGAGCCTGTCCTGTTAACGCCTGCTGTGGGTAAAATTCCAACCCTAGATCAGCAGTTCGCAACCAGAGGTGATTTTGCCCCTCAAGGGATATTTGGAAATGTCTGGAAATATATGGTTGTCACAACTAGGAGAGCCCTACTGGCATCTAGTGGGCAGAGGCCAGAGATGCTGCTAAACATCCTACAAGGATGCATCCGCAGGATAGTCCCCCACAACAAAGAATTTTCCAGCCCCTCAAAATCAAAAGTGTTGAGGTTAAGAAATCCTGGCCTAGACAAACTGAATCTCATTTTTGACTTCATATTTCATGTACTTTTAAATGCCCCAAATACACTTCTAAACAGATAAAATGTAATTACAAAATTGTCATTTTGTGTATGTCACTATTTAAATCAAGTTACCTCCAGGTAGGTTCCTGACAAGAAAAAAACAAATGTTTTTCAATATAGTAGTTGCCTTGGACTTTTTATTAATTCTCAGGAATTTCTAGATATAGAGATTGGTCAAAAAGTAACATAATTATTTCAACTTATATTTGAATGGTCAGCGGTCTAACATTTCAGACATATTTTTGCTAAGAACAGAGAAGTTTCACCAAAAGTAAAAACAACAAAAAATCTCAACCAATTTCCTTATATACAGTAGCCTTTCTCATAAATATGGCCAAAACCCACTTTCCTCTACTTGGTTGTTTACTAATGTTTCCTTTGGCCAAGGATCTTAATTACTGAACTATTTCCTTATCACTTAAAGAGTACTGCTCTTCAAAACAACTCATACTACATGGGTTTATGGATGATCCAATGTTTCTTTACAAATAAAACTCATATGATTTAGAAAAGCTTTATTATTATATTACAACCTCTCTGGGCCTTCTCACTCCTGATTCTTTTTTTTTTTTTCTTTTTAAAAGAGTTATTTATTTGAGAGAGAAAGAGCACACGCGCATGCGAGCGGGGGGAGGGAGAAAGAGGGAGAGAATCTTCAAGCAGATTCCTTGCTGAGTGTGCAGCTGACTGATGCAGGGGCTCGATTCCAGGACCCTGAGATCATGACCCAAGCAGAAATCAAGAATCGGTTGCTTAACCAACTGAGCCACCCAGACACCCCCTCACTCCTGATTCTTTTCAACAAAACACGCACTGTGTTCGGAACTACCAGGGTGAAGTCTGATGACTCATCCCATGCAGGAGCACCACATGAATGCCAACAGAACATCAGTAACCTCCCTGAAACACTGGATTTGGCATGTTCAGAGTGGGGCTGATGTCTCTGAAATAAACAGCTCAGCTCTTCAGTCAAAGGCTGACACACTTACCTTTATGTCAATTCAGCTAGGTTGGCTTCAGGAACAACCACCGACTCTGACTCTGGTTTATTTTTACATAAAAGGTCCCTTCTATATGGTGGGCATGCATTCAGTCTTCTCCTCCTTCAAGCCACACAACTCACAGGGGACAAATTAATCCTTCAAGAAAAGCTTTCCTTGGGCAACTCCCTGTAACCCCCAATTGTTTCTTGGCAACCCACAGAAAAAAGCCCCAACCCACTGGCAAGAGACGCAAGCTCCCCAACAAATTAGACTCAACCTACCTCCTAGGCCTTCTCTTCCACAACCCCATCCTAAGTGTATGCTTTTGGATGTCTCCAGATCCATTTCACAATGCTTTACCTCAATCTCTCTTAAGGACAATAATAGCATTAATTTATCAGGTCCTAAATCAACTACCTTTTGCTTCATAGAGATTATAAACCTTCTCAAGTACCAGACTGTGTATCATATCTCTTTTCAAGTCCACAGTAAGTGTGCCACCTAACTGGCTCACAGTGAAGGAACTCAGCTAACAGCCCGTTTGTCTGATAACCTCTTGAAAAGCATCACTTCTACAGTCTTCCATGACAATTCTGTACAATTAATTCATGCATTTTCTTCTGCCCAGGATTCTAATATAAAGCCAAGGTCTAAATTTTCGTGAAATATAAAGGAAAAAGAGAAAACTGAATTCAACGTCACATTCCTAAGTCTCTCTCATCAAGCATATTCTACTACCTGCTTGAGCTACATGCCTTGAGAAAAACATACCAATACTGCCTTGGCAGTTAAGTGGTTAAGGGACATTGGCTATGCTGACAGACTAGAACTGAAGTTCCGGCTCTGCAACTGTGTCACCTTGGGCAAGTCACTGAACTTATCCGCTAATTCATTTCTCACCTACCAAATCGGGATCAGAAAAGTTATGTGGGGAGGATTAAACAGAGAAATGCATGCAAACCACTTACTGCAGGGCCCCTGACATGATAAGTGCTTAATACTTGTTAGCTGTCACTCTTATTAAAGGGAAGAAGTCCAGAAAAGTAACGGCTGCTAACCTGTCCGGGTCCCCCATATCCCCTCCCTCCTTCGCCCTCAGTTTTAAGCCGTTTCCTTGGAGCCAAGTTCTGGACACACAATGGACGGAGAGAGAAGGGTCTCTGCCCTTGGATGCAGACCCCTCCCCGATCCAAAACCCTCGCCCTAAGCTTGGGGCGACCCGGCAGGAGAGAGATGAGCCGGGATTCGGTCGCTGGCCGGAAGCCTGACGTGCGGCCGCTTCCCCGGGCGCCCCGGCAGGCCTCGGTGCCCCCCCCCCGCCCGTCTCCCT